TAGAGGAGGCTATCTCATCCCTCAGATGTAAAAAGACAGAGATACAAAGAAAAGAGAGAGAGGGAAAGAAACTGACTGCAAAACACAACCTGTAAAGTTTTTCCACATAGGGAATGTAGCCATCGCCATCGTTTATTCGGCCATCCACTCGATCCTGACGGCGCTTCATCCTACAAAAAAACACACACATTTAGGGTTAAAGAAAAAAATGTGAGGAAAAAACGATGAAAAGCATGTAAGGAATTATTAAAGTCGATAAGAATTTTGTTTCTATTTTCATGGAACACGCAGTTATATTTCAGCTGAAAAGAACCGATTAGTGGCAACGAGTAAAAAACATAATTCACGATGAGTGCGCATGGGCGATCAACAACGCGCGGTCTGCGTCACACAAAACGGCGGCCCACAACGAACGTGAACAAAATAGAATGGAATAGAAAGATTCAACTTAAATATTTCATGTGGAATATGCAAAAATGCGCATGGCTGGGGGATTGGGAGATAGAGTGTTTTGGAATATGTTTTATAAACAATGTGTGACATATTCATATTGTAATTTTAATTTTAGATGATGTGTGTTTATGTAAAAAGTAAGTGTTTAAATATCTCATGTGCTGAGAATGCCTAAGAGGAATACTTGTCAATGTGTTTCATCCCTTAGCTGTAAACAAAAGACAAGTGGAGGGGTGTACGCGAAAACAGAGTGTTTTGGAAAATGTTTTATAAACAATGTGTGACATATTCATATCTCACGTGCTGAGAAAATTGTAGGAGGAATATTTGTGTCTGTGTTTCATCCCTTAGCTGTAAACATAGAGACAACTGAAGCGGTTTAAGCGAAAATAGAGTGTTTTGGAACATTTTTTATAAACAATGTGTGACATATTCGTATCTCATATGCTAAGAATACCTAGGAGGAATATTTATCTGTGTTTCATCCCTTAGCTGTAAAGTAAAAAGCAGTACGGGCCACAAAGGCCCTGTGGGGGAAAGGAAGAGGGCAGTAACCAGGGCCAGGAACAACGGCCCATTTAGCGAGGGTATCGAGCAGCAAGGGTCGCACCAACCCTAAATGCAAAAGGAATAACCAGAGGTAGGACGGTGGCCGTCAGGAATCAAATGAAGTAGTGAAAAAAGGAAAATAAAAAAGGTCAAGATTGTTGTGGCGTATATTTACAGAAACAGAGTGGCATGTGAAAAAGTCATGTAAAGAGCTGTATGCAAAAAAAGCATGCTTGTGTTTCATCCCTTAGCTGTAAACATAGACAAGTGAAGGAGTGGTTAGGCGTGGGAATCATCAGTACAGCCCCTTAACCAACATGTGAAATAGCAAACTGCGATACTTTGATCAGCTGTTGTTTCATCATTTCCGTACTCCCCCCTCCTCTCCGCTGACTTTTTCCTCACTCCGAGCAGCCTTTCGGCCTCCGAGTACATCTCTTTTCATCGTTTGTGCGCCTGCTCCCGGCTCTTTCCTGTCATGGGTTACATGGATATCACAAAAAAAGCCACCAACAACGGTTGCTCGGTTGTACTGTGTTCTTGCCAAACTTAATGGTTTACTGTTTTGTGCTAATCATAGCAACTGCTCCACCAGTGAG